CATCATTATAAAAAAACAAATTTCTTTCCTTAATCATACGGAGTAATCTAAGCCGACCTTTTCACTTTCGTCACGCAAGCAAATATATACAAGGATGGATGTGTTCATTGATTCATTCCAAAACCAGAAATACTTATCTCTTAATTGTCTTTGTTTTTAAAATGGCCACTCCTATTGACAAATTCTTACGTGATTGTTAGATTCACACTTATTTTATCAACCATAGTACATGATATCATAAACGAATTAAACTTTTTTGCAAAAAAAAAATCTACTTTTCAGCCCATGAAAATTATTAGAATATCCATATTTTATATGTGAACTTTAAGACCACAAAAAAACTGTTTAAAAATATGGAGTAATAAATAACACGCCACCATTGAAATTGAAAGGAAGCCTTGACTAAAAAAATTCGTATGGAAAACATCAACCATAAATCATAATATACTACCGAGTAGAAGAGATGGGGGATAAAATAATGTGGAGTATAAAAAGTATTCTTATTCAATAATTTGGAGTATAAAATAAAGTTATGCTTATTCATAATTAAATAAAAATTGTGTTGCTTATAATTATTTAATGTGGAATAAAAATAATTTGATGCTTGGTTGGTCGTGCAAAAAGAATGTGAAATAAGATTTTAAAATTTGTTTCTGAAACGGCTATTTTATTATTAGTATTTAATTTAATTGATAATCAATGTTAATCTAATTTGGTTGGAAAAATCGAAATGAATAGATGTTTTAAGGTTGATATCATATTTTCGTGCGGCTAAAAAACGCTATAAAATACGAGTAAAGTCTATCCTTTTGTCACCAAATAAAATTCCCCATTTTTTATTCGATTAAATATAAAACGTTCACTTCTTCTCTTTGTATAAGATGAATGGATGGACGACATAGACATAACTAAATTCGCTCATGTGTGAATTACAAAATCATAGTACGAACACAAAGGTGTACTAAATTCTATGGGAGCGCTGAAAGTTTCCTCAAATTGCCAATTTGAAGATTAAGCGTCCTCTAATTTTTTAGAGCACTGGTAATGGTTATGAAGCCCTGGGGCTTCAAACCGGGGCTTCAAAATTTCTCTCTCTGCCACGTCAGCTTTAACTTACACTCAAAATTCACTGGAAATGGTTTTGAAGCCCCGGGGCTTCAAAGTGGGGCTTCAAACCTTCATTTTTTACATGTTTAAATATACATCTTCTAAAATTAAATTAATAAAATGTAATTAATTTATTATTTAATTAAATTGAAACACGAAAAAAAATACATTAATGAAATAAAAAACGACAATAATTTAAAAAAACATACATTAATAAAAAAACTAAGGTAAATTATATTTCTCCTTGATCTCTCTCATTCTTTGCTCGTAGATAATTAGTCCAAACTCCGACAACGTCCCGGGGTCGATTTGCATGACTTTCATCTCGGCCTCCTGCTCCTTTATCTTCAACTCCTTCTCCTTTAGCTTCAACCTCTCTTGTTCCTGGAGATTGAACGCCCGAAGTTGTTCAACCATTGCCCGGCCGATTTCGTCGCGGGGAGAAGCGGAAATAGAGGCGGACCCTCCCGAACCAGAGGCAATGGATTTCAGAGAGATATTATTGAAAGTTGTGCAATGGAAACGAGAAATGTCATATTGAATGAGATAGGAAAAAAATTTTGCTCTTTTGATTGATGAAGCTCGAGATTGCTCTGTGAAAGAGCAAATGTCAGTGATTTTGAGATTTGTGAATGATAAAGGGGAGGTTATAGAACGTTTTCTTGGATTAATTCATGTTGAGGAGACTTCTGCAAAGTTTCTTAAAAAATCAATTGATGAATTTTTTGCAAAACATGGATTGTCTCTTTCAAGACTAAGAGGTCAAGGTTATGATGGGGCTTCAAACATGCACGGTCAATTTAATGGGTTGAAAACACTTATTCTTAATGAAAACAAGAATGCATACTACATTCATTGTTTTGCCCACCAACTTCAGTTAGTTATTGTTGCGGCTGCACAAGATAGGGAGAGTGTATTTGATTTCTTTGAAAAGCTATTGATGATTGTTAATATAGTTGGATCCTCGTGCAAACGAAAGGATTTTCTCCTTCAAGTACACGAGGAGGAAACTTTGCATCGCATAGAAACAGGTGAATTGTCAACTGGTAGGGGGCAAAATCAAGCAACATCTTTAGCTCGACCAGGTGATACACGTTGGGGCTCTCACTACAAAACTCTTGTTCGTCTCTTTGATATGTGGAATGCTATTGGTACAGTGCTAAATTCGTTACACATGCATGGTGAAACACCCAAAATTAAAAACAGTGCTGGTGGTATTCTTGATAAAATGGATTCTTTTGAGTTTGTTTTTATTGGAAAGTTTATGTTGAAAGTTCTAGGTATGACTAACACCTTATCAAAGATATTACAAGAACGAGATCAAAATATTGGTTGTGCTTTGAATATGATTGGT